ATTAAATTAAATGATTAAATGATAATTGAAAATATACAAATTAAAAAGCAATTCTTGAATTTTCAATTAATAAATCAATTTGGAGTAAGAAACAGAGATTTCAGCTGCAATTTCGTTTTTTATAAACATATATATATATGTATATTTGTATATTCCATCATGTTTAGATCATCGCAAACAAATCTAAACTGACTGCAGGTATAGCCTTGATCTTTGGCCATGATATACACAAAGTGTGTCTTTAATCAATATTTGTGTAAACAAATCATTAGCATATTCATATTTTATATCAGCACAAATGAATCGAACACTTTCGCACATCCTCTCCGCTAGTTATTGGAAAAACAAATGGTTTATCCAGCGGTTTGTTATGAATAGGCGCATATCTCATCGCGACCTAGAACGACTATGCAATCATGAGCTAGTGATTCAATTCATGCACTCTCAGAATCTATGCGTATTCAAAGAAAAATCCATAACTGATTGATGCTTCCTATTTCCTGGCACGAACGGCTCTACAATATTACAGTCTATATTAGTCCAGGTACATTTTCTTTTCCAAGGTATACACACACACTCACACATATACGAGCAAAAGGAAAACAAAATCAAAAATGAATAAAAGAAATTCGGAAAAACACTCGCAATTATATTTATTTCAATTGAAACGACCCATTAGCAGCTCGTGAAAAGCATCCCACCATTAAATGTTCTGGCTCTTCGAATGACTAAATTTAATCGAAGCCAAATATATAGTATCTATCTATATCTGGGAAAGAATATCATCGATAACGTCATTGTTTTTTGCGCCTTAAGGCCAAAAAATAAAAAAAAAAAACAGAAAATCTTGCTGATTCGTGATTTGCACAAAAGCCAAATATTTGTTCTTAAACAATATTTAGTTTTAACGCTGCATTGTTTACACGCACACACTTTCGCCCATTGTATTCACGAATACACTCAAACCAGAAGAAGAAAAACACCCACATGAACTAGCAGCAACAGTCGTTCCATCGAAATGTCTGTCTCTCTATCTACCGCTAGCTTTAGCTCTTGGCCTGTCTGACGCGTCCGTCGATTCTCGATTGTCGGCAGTCGATTTTCAATGTTCAATTGTTTACTGACTGCTCTGACAGACAGACGGACAGACGGACAGCCGGACAGACAAACAGGCGGACAGGCGAAAAGACGGGTGGACGGGTAGACGGACGGCCGGGAGCAGTGAAAAACATGAGCTTTATAAACAAAACAAACAATCGAAACACACGCCGTGGACACCGCAACGCCAGCCCCCAAAGCCCCCACAGCAAGCGACGAGCAGTTGCCCAGGCTAAATATACATATATACAAATTTCATTTATGGTATGTAGTTAGTAGGGTGTTCCAGTTGCGGTTGTAGTGCTCGGCAATTAATGCTAAACGATTATGCTGGGCGCACTCGCACTCGCACTCACACACACACACACACTCACGCACACATACTTTCAGCACAGCAGAGTATGCCTGTTCGCAGTGCTGGCCAAACTGTGTTATTTAGTATTCTTACTATTTACTATCAGGCTGCTGGCATATGGCAATACTCATTTATATTTATTGAGCAGCAAATTAGTTTGCTTAATAGCGAACTTAGTGCATGTAAAACTAATTTATTAGGGGCACTCCTACAACATTACAAATTATAATTATACATATATTATTATTATCTATATAATATCATCTCTTTAAGTAGTGGCATTCCTTTGGCTACTATGCATCCGTATATGAATGTGTAATGCTTACAGTACATGTCAAACTGTTTGACATTTGATTCTATGAACTGCCGCATCACACACGCACACAATTGCCTGCATCAATTATTAATATTTATCAGTTGACTTTGAGTCGATCCGAGGTACAATGCATGTCAAACTGTTGACAGCATTTATTATTGAAGAGCTCATATCTACAACGGACTTGTTGGTTCATTAAGAAAACTCTTAAGATTAGCGGCTAAGGTAAAATTTTGTAATAATATGAGAATAATACAGTCTGCCTTACTATCTACACTCTTGTCGCTCTGTGAAGTGTATTATATGTAGTGCATGTCAAACTGTTGATTACAATATATTGTTAATCACAATAATTACAATATATTTAATAGTCTTATATTAAAATCTATATCAAATTAGGAGCTGCAATGTTTGCTAAACTGTTGACAGCTCAACATTATTTATTATCTATTTTAACTCCACTCGATTGACCTCTCTCTTCTACCCTTATACATTCATCAAGCATAAATCCAATATACTAATCAACATCAATCATACATTTAAGTTCCTCTAAACTGGAATGTCAAACTGTTGACTTTCTTTTTACACATGCATACATATAAATATAAATCCTCTTTGTATATAACAACAGCTGTCATTAAAAATCCTATCAATAAGGGCAAAACATTTTATTCAGCCAGCTAGTTATACTCATATTGGGACAGCACGCATTTGCCCACATGCCGGAAGAAGAGCTGAGCTGGTGATTAGTGCTTGTCAAACTGACAGGCAGGTCTCAAAATTTAATATGATTTAATATTAATATCAGCATAAGAGCGCCACGGCAGAGCCCCATTAAAAATGCTATTAATGAAGGTAACGCTTAACGCTCCTGGCTCCGGCTATATTAGGGGCACTCATTTGCCAGAGGCTATAGCCAGAGAGACATAGAGAGAGAGGGAGAGAGAGAGTAGTCGCTGCTCCCGCTACGCCATCATTTATTCACATTTAATGAGCATAGAAGAACTTCAAAAAGCTCGGCGCGTACACATATTTAAAATGAGTTTTCTGTTTTTGTGGCGCTTGTTTGCCTTTTTATACCTAGCCCACAACACACACTAAACACTCGCACACACACACACACACACATATATATACCCACTGGTGCACGCACACACCAAACACACCCACAGCCATATCCTGTTGTTGGCAGCTCACGCACAGGGCTTTGGGGCAGGCAGCAGGAATCGGGCAGAGTGGCGGGGCAGTAGGTCAGGAGTGTTGCAAGTTGTAGTAGTAAGTAGCGTGTAGCAAGTGCGGCGCTGCCTCTAAATGCTGCTGTTTTTCTTTCACTTCTCCTTTTTTTTTCTACTCTCTTTTTTGTTGTGGTATGAAGTCGTTGCTGCCTTCAGTTAACTTGAAGTGTACACACACACACACACATGCAGTGTTAAGCTGTTGGATGTGTGTGTGTGTGTGTGTGGGAACAGGCGCACGCATCGATTTTTCCGTTTGGTGTAGCACGAAAATCTTCCTGATTGTTTTGTTGCCCGTTGACTTTAAAATGAGCCGAATTTCTTGGGTTGTGCCCTCAGCCTGGCATAGATCAAACTTTACACAATTTCCACTAGCTGTCCGTGTGTCTATATATACATAGGAGACACGCACGTACACACACACACACACACACACTCACGCAATTACTCAAACCATTTTCATTGGCCGCTTCTCACCTATTTGCTGGACTTTTGGTTGTTGTGCGCGCTGCCAATAAACATAATCGCTGGAATAGTTTGTCCGCTGCCGCAGCTCTCGGTATCTTTGGGCGTGTGTATGGGTTTCTGTGACAAACCAAAAGGATTGCAACGAAGAAGAAGCAGAAACCCAACCAAAAACAAAAAAAAAGGGATAATAACTTAAAGCCTAGAACTACACTACACTTTTGTGCCGTTTAACGTGCCCCGTCTCGACGCTGCTGCTCGTTTTGCTCGGCGCTCGACGATTTCTTTCAAATTTTCTTCTTGTCGTTTTTGGGCTCAGCGCGTTCCGAACGATMCGATGCGATTCAACAAACTGAAACCCGAAATACAAATCTCATGGAATATTACGGACTAGCTTCGGCATGGTCTCCGTGCTCTTTGGCAGTGTTGCGGTGCATGCGCGCTGCGCCTCATCTCCGTTTCTCTTTTGCGCTGACATTCCACGTGGCTTTCGCCTTTTGGCGGCACATGCAACGCTGCGTATACGTTTTTTTCTTTTGTGTGTTCAAATGTTTCAAAATATTCAAAATTGGCAAATTAATCGGCAATCTATATCTAATGACAATTTAGCAGATGATATAAATTTAAAATGATATACCCGGCGTATACGCAATTAAGGAACTATATATCTAAATATATGCATAAATTACTCCAAAATTTCATGTAAACAAAATGTAAACAACTTAAAGTAAACTGTTTTTTGTGCACACTGCGTATACGTAATTTATCTACTAGGAAATAAATGTACATATGAAATAGACGCTATAAATGTGTTTCTAATTCTCAAATATTGATAAACATTAACATCGTTTCATTTAAAATTAAATTTATGAATGGCATTGTTGCACGCTGCGTATACGCGATTTCGACAGCCAACATTTTTATAGAGAATATAAATACATTGGGTGTTTAATTGTATTCTGTTTCTGCATTTTGTGATCGTATTTATGAAATTTAGGAAGATGAAGGAATGATTGGAAGAGTTTTTCAGTAAGCAGTTAATTATTATTAGATCTAACTTTATTGGAAAGTCAAATTCTTGTATTGATAAACTGAAAATAAAAATGGATATTCAAAATGCTAACGACTTGATATTACTCCCTCAATTTAGTTTCCACAGCTCATCACTCTTCGCTATTGATTTACTTTTAATACCCAAAAATATAGCCAGATCATTCTCTTTTAAATTATTATTCATATTCATTAATTTTTCACTTTATCGAGTCTTTAGTATATTACATGGAAAATCACTTTCATTCAATGTGCCAAAAATAGCACTTCAATCTTGCATTTCTTATATCCATCGCAGCTATTTTCAACCTGTTCAATTTAGCCATTAAAAGTGTTTAGACTCAGCAGCTGCTTGGCCTGAAGATAAAATTATAAAAGAGAACTGCAGTTCGATAAATACATACATCTATATAGAGAACGCATTATGAATACTGGTATTATTTATTTTATTTAAAATACATTTTTCACAGTTGCATCAAGTAAACAATTTTCGGGAACGTAAAAAATGAAGTATAGAGCGAACTGTCAAAATCTACATAAGAATATTGCGCATACAAATTGATGCAAGGAGGCACAAAAGATAATTGGCGTGGGCAACTGAGAAAAACAATTAAAATTTACTACAAAATGCAAATGCAATTGGCTAGGTGAGAAAATGTTCACAAAGGTGTGTGTGTTCATGTGTGTTAGCATATGTTTGTGTATTATATATATATGTTATTGGAGAGAGTCCACTGAGCACAGTCTGAAAAATCGAGTAAATAAACATATTTCCAACAGCTGTCTGCGTTTGTGGATTGTTTGTAAATCTAAAGCTATGCAACGCTCAGGCTTGCTGCTCCTCGCTGCCCGAGGCAGAGGTGTGCCAGACGTGGCCCATTTCGAGTGCCTGCAATTTTAGCATCTCCTTCTGGCTGTCCTTGGCCTGCAGCAGGAACACGCTTTGCTGCAAGTGAATGGAAATTAGCTAAGAGTATATAGAGCTGAGGGACAATGCTGGTACTCACTTTAACCTCCTTGGTGGTCAGAACATCCATTTTGTCATAGATGATGGCATGCAGACCCAATTCCTTGAGCAGCTTGATTGTGTCTTTGGAATTGTTGTCATCGCCCCAGCAGAAGAGCACCAGGCCACGCTCCTTTGCCAGATTTACCTAGAACGCCCGTTTTGGTAAAAGTCCAACAAAGTCCAAAGCTGCTCGGTGGCAGTTCATTTTACCTGGCTGGGATCACGCAGTAGGTCCTCCGTATGTGCCACGATGCCTAACAGCTCCATGGCCACCGCATGCCACACGGCCGTCTCCATGGCATTGCCACGTGGGTCCATATACTTCTGGTACTTGGTCGTATGGCCCAGCGTGAGGAACATGACCGGATAACGATTCTGCTTGTAGCGCAGCATTGTGCATATGTCCGGATCAAAGCAGCTAAACACGATGCGTCTGCTGCCCGCCTTGCGCAGCACCACATCCAAAATGCAATCGATATAGAGATTACGATCCACGACATGCTCAAACTCCTCCTCCATGCGACCGTCCTGCAGGCGCTGCGACCATTTTATCTCTATATTAAAGCCGATGTGCTCATCCAGGGCTTCCAGCACATCGGCCAGCTGAGGAAACGGCTGATGCTCCAGCAGATCGTCGTTGTGAAAGGAGCGCGTCTCACGGGACAGCCCCTCCGCCGTGTGATACACCTTCAGCTTCTTGAGCTGCTCCAGCGTCAGCTCACGCATGGGCAGTGACAGAAAGTCGTGCTCCTGCATACTGCACTTGCTCTTCAACGACACATAGATCATGAAATCATGATAGACAACCGGCACGAGATCCTTGCTCAATTGCACATCGAACTCCACCATGTCTGCGCCATGCTCGGCGGCGTTCTTCAGCGAGGTGATTGTATTCTCTCTGATCACAGCGTCCATCGCCTGGAAAGATGGTGAGTTGAGTAACTATAACTGTAAACGTTGCTGATGAAATTATACTCAATTAACACTTCCAATGCAATGTGATGAATAAATATTGTTAATGAAATTTATAAAGCCGAATTGCGTTAACTTCTCTCTCGCTAGGTCAAAAATCTCAATAATATGCTAAAATTGCTAGACGCTTCAAAATGCATTGATAACTTATAAATATTTTATAAGTTTGCTCGCCTCGTTAGAAATGGAGGTGGTCAAATAATCTAAAATAACTTCAACAACACAAAAATTCTACACATACTAAAGTATTCTTCTTCTTTCAGAACTTTGCTTTGAGTCTCGTTAAGTGCAAATTCCGATCATGTAGGTAATTCATAAACAGCACTACCATCTCGAAATATCAGGAATCCAATGTTTATGTAAATTAATTTTTTGCTTTGTCAGTTGATTTGTGGAGTTAAGGGAATATTAAATATCATCTATGTAAACTTGAAGCTAAGCTATAATATTTTTTTTCATTGAATGTTTATATCTTCATATTGATTTCTTGCTAAGAATCCAGTTCAAGATATATTTGTTTATAAATATTAGATATATATAATTGACCCCCATAGAAAAAACTCGAACTTTTGACAGTTGTGTAGTTGCTTGAGGGTTTCCTTTTGAGGATTAAAGATTCAATTCACTAAAGAAAAGGCAAAGATAATTAATAATATATAGGAATACATATATATGTATACAAATACGTTCATCAGTTATGACATATTTGAATAGTTTAATTTTCATAATATATACAACTACTTCATTCGTATCAAAAGAGTTCACTTTGAACCTGTTCAGCACTTCTCTCAAAATTTCAATTTTGTTATCGGCAAACTGGTTTTCTGAATAATGTAATCTGTTCAAAACAGCATAGGTTCATCATATTGTATCTAGGTATGTCTGCCTGACCTATTGTAAAAGAGCTCATTTTGAGATAGTCTATGTTTTGAAGAAGTTCATGAAACTGAGATTAATTTAAAACATATTTGAAGTCAATATTTCATTTCCACACACCTAACAGTATCTTAGACCTACCTTAAAGCTGGTGCCGGAGCCACGATGTCCCACATCCAAGCCGGTCCACTTATTGTTCCAGTAGCGTGTATAGCTCACGCGCATGTCCATGTGGGCGCTGTGGGACGAGGGCTTGACTATCAAATAGCCTAGTTTCATCATGCCCAGTGGCCGGTGGGTCTTGGCACAGGTAATAGGTAGCTCCAGATTGCCTTCGGAGCGCTTGAAGAGATTTGGTAACACATAATGATAGCCCAGGTGATGCGGCGGGCCGTCCTCCCGCTCCACCTTCGATTTGTAGCTATACAGATCCACCAGATAGGCCACATTGTCCAGATCGGCCACAGTCAGATGAAAGATGACCAAGTCCGTGGCGCTGCACGCGGTGCCGAATTGCTCCTGGGTGCGTATCTCGCAGCTGTCGGCGCTGAGGGTGACCACCTCACTGAAGGCGAAGGCTGTGCTGTCGCCGCCATTCTCGCGCGTGTCATGTGTGTCGTTCGATAGCGAGTCCTCGAGCGTGCTGACGGGCGCCATCTCGGCGCAGCCTGTGGTGGGGATGCGCAGATTCATGGGCGTCACTTTGACGTGTACCAGACGCCGCTTCATGCGCTGTTTCCAGGTGAACGGCGCATAGAAGAACTTCAGCTGCACCAGCGACTCTTTGGTCAGCCAGCCGCGATCCACTTTCTCCTGGCCATTGACACATCCGAATGTTTCCTGGCACTCAGGCGGCTGCTCATCCCATTCCTTAATACAACGCGGCTCCAGCTGCACCTCCCAGCGACGCACCAGTAGTTGCTCCGACGTAGCATCTACACCAAAGACCACATAGCGATACTGAGTGTCACAATGACGTGGTATATACACTTGAGCTGTCCAGACATGACCATCCTCATCCTCATCTTGTGATTCCTCGCGAGTCATCAACGCTGCTCCAGTATGCTTCCAATTGCCCAGTGCCTCGCAGCTGCCCACAATTCCAAGCTGCTCGAAGACGGAGAGCTTCTCGTTCACCCTGACACGAAATGTCCACAGCCGATTGGTGCTAATGTCACCGAAGATCCGCTGCGCAGTTGGCACTGTCTCGGCCACTGGGCATACAGAGGGTGCGGCCATGGCATCTTCCTCGCAATCGTACGAAGGCTTCCAGCGCTCCATTGCCTAATAATTGATTGTCTCTTTGAGAATAAAAACAAAGAAAACTTTCACCTCAGCAAATTTTGAAATTCTTGAATTTTGTTTATTCACCGAGGCTAGGACAGTGCAAAGTTCTTTAATGTCTGCAGTTGTTGTTGCTGAGGGTGTTGGTGTTGTTGCTGTTGGCGACTTTAAAGTTCCAAGCACATTTCGACATTTGAGATATGCTCAAACAAAGAAGACGAAGCCCCCCGGTCCGATTGGCCGCTATCGAGCTACAAATTGTTTTTGTGTGTTTTACTGCTGCAATCAACGAGCAGCTGTTTTTCTTATATATTATGAACGCATGTCTGTCGGCCTCTGAGATATTGTCTGCTACGTATGTATGCTCCACTTTTTTATAATTATTGTAAATGTGTATGTATCGAGTTTATCACGAATTAACGTTGTTAGCACTCAAACTGAGACTGAAAGTTTGCAATGCATAAAATTGGAGTTGGTCGCAAGTAGTTTTTGTTGTGAAGGTTGCCATTGAGACATTCATTGTGTTGACATCCAGCAGAGTAAGTGACGTCATCCGCTAAGAACGTCAATGGATATTATCGTAACATCTTAGATATTGTAAACTTTAAGTCTCTAAGTTTCTTAAACATTAAAACTGATAAAAAATACAAATAATTACACCCCAATATCCCACATTAAACATTTCAATATTTCGGTGTGACGTCACATTTATTGACTAACGCCGCTCAATACCTGTCACATTTTTGATTCCACATATTGCCATTTTGAGTAGAGTTGCCAGACTGCCGCGTGAGTTTTATAGCGGCCAGCTATAAAAACATCACTTCATTTGTTTTGGCGGGAACTTTACACACTTGTTTATTGTTTATCATTCGCTGCTCGTTGCTTTTATTTAACTCATCTCAAAATGGATCAATATCCTGATGAGAATGAAGAGTTTGAGCTGCAGTATCAGGATGAAATGGAACTGCTCGAGGACATGCCGCACGAGTATGACGCCGTCGACAATGGACCGAGCACATCTCGTCAGGCAGCAGCTGCGCTCGAGCAACAACAACAAAAGGCAAACACAACTGTTGCGGGCCTCAAAGATGTCTCGCGCTTTAGCGATTCCATACTGAACTCTCCACAGCTGTCACAGATCACATTTGGCGCCAGTCAAAGTGAGTTGGCTGGCGGTGGACCCGTCAATCGGCGTCTCTTTGGTACGCCCAGGGGGCCGGCAGTGGGACGCGGCTGCTCGACCCCAATGCAGCGCATGCCGCATATTGAGGAAGTACTTACTCCCACAGTCGAAAAGACAGCGCCGCTGCTATGCGCCGCCGCAGAGCAACTGCAGGAACTGGGATTGCGAGGCAACAACAAGCGACGGCTGGAACGAGATCTCTTCGGGGACATTGACGATCTGTACCACGAGAGCTACGAAGATCCCATGGTGAAGAAGGCACGCACCGAGGAGCAACGCGACAACGAAGCCATCGAGCGCATACTGGAGCTGAGGCGTAAGATGCGAGAGTCCAGCAAAACGGTTCGCCAAGATGAGGTTTCGCGTCTGCGTGCGCTGCACGACTTCAAAATGAAGAATCTCTCATACGAGATTCCCACCTGGCCATTTCTGGCGCTGCAGCGCAGCGACCTGGAGCGCCTCTATGTGCGCTTCCACTCGGAAGAGTACGAGCAACGGCAACTGGACCTGCTCAGTGCAAGGGACAACCTGACAGGCAGCCTACTGGGCGAGGCCAAGCAACAGGTCTGGCAGGAGGCCAACGAGCTGGTGAGTTAGACAAAGCCAGGGAGAAAATAGTCACTTAGCAAGCCTTTCTTCCAGGTGCTGCGACGCATGGCTCCACCAACACAGCTCGTCAATCCCGAGCCAGTTGCTCCTAGCGTGGACACTGGTCGGCTGTGGGTGGACAAGTACAAGCCGCGCAAATACATTGATCTGCTCTCTGATGAGATGACCAATCGCAGTCTGCTCTATTGGCTGAAGATGTGGGACAAGGTCGTCTTCGGCAAGGTCTTTCACAGCAAGCAGGAACAGCAGGCAGCCAACACTGGAGTAGCAGCCAGCCAGCAGCTGAACAGCTTCAACAAGCGGACTGGCAAATTCGAGTCCAACGGAGGCTGGCGACAGCGCAAAGCGCGTCAAGCGCTTAACACCAATGTGGACGAGCTGGGCAGACCCATGCAAAAGGTGGCACTGCTCTGCGGTCCGCCCGGTCTGGGCAAGACCACACTGGCTCACACAATCGCCCGGCATGCCGGCTACAATGTGCGCGAAATAAATGCCTCCGATGATCGCAGTCCCGAGGCCTTCAAGTTGGCCCTGGAGAACGGTACACAAATGTCGTCAGTGCTGAATGAGGACAAGCGGCCCAATTGCATTGTGCTGGGTAAGAAGAGGCTGCTCCTGCTACAAAGTCAATTTGTCATCCTATTCTCTATTCAGATGAGATTGATGGCGCACCGCGTCAGTCCATTGAGTATCTGGTCAAATTTGTCAGCGATGGCATCTTCAGCAAGGCCAAGTCCAAAGGCGCCAAGGCGGAGCACAATGTGCTGCGTCGTCCCATCATCTGCATTTGCAACGACATCTACGATCCCGCCCTGCGACCATTGCGTCAAATTGCATTCGTAGTCAGCTTTCCGCCCATCGATGCTGCGCGTCTGGCCGAGCGGTAGGCGGCGCAGATTAGCCAAATGATTGCCTAAACTCAACTGAATTTCTTTGCACTTTGCAGACTGCTACAAATCGCGCACAAGGAGCACTTGAAAACGGACTTTGGCGCACTCATCGCTTTGGCTGAGAAATCGGGCAACGATGTGCGCAGCTGCATCTCAACTATGCAGTTCTTCAAGTAAGTTAAGAGGGAATAAAGAGAACTGAGATAGAGAGTTGGAGCGAGACTACATCGATAGTGTGAATTAGACTAAACATATATGTAAATAACTGGTAGATCAAAAGAGCCTAGATTGAAGAAAGAGAGCGGCAGTAAATTAGACAATATATAAGTAGAGCTGATAGATGAAGAAAACTGAGGAGGGTAAGTGAGGTAGGCAATAAATCGAAACAGCTGTGTATGGTAGGTTGGAGGCTATTAAAAGCAGCATCACATTATTTTGTAGGTAAATTCAAATATAATTTTATTTTTTAAATTTTATTTATCCTATTTAATATTCATTTATTATATCCACTAATTCATTTTAATAATCTTAATATTTTGCAGCGCTCAAAAACATTGTCTGACGCTTCAGGATGTGCTCAACAACAATCTGGGTCAGAAGGATCGGCATCAAGGTCTGTTCGATGTGTGGGGCGCTATATTTAGGGTGAGTTAAAAACCTTTCCAAATTTATACATAATTGTACATTTAGTTTATATATTTATATATGAGTTGAATGGTTTGGTTCAGTTTGAGTGCTAGTATAACTTGGCTGAAAGCTAAAGACGAATCAATGGGTATAGGGCAGTCTTCCAAGCAACGAGGCTTGACAGTGAGAGAGTCGTTTCGTTAGAGAGTGGCGCAATGCTCATCATGTGAGTAGCCGAAGTGATTCGCAGAGGAGAACTGCTAGTAGTAAGCGATTCGGTTGGTATATTCTTGTAAGAGAACCGAAATCTGAAATGTCATCTCTCACATATACATACTGATATCGCTTAGGCTAGCCAAGTTCAACTCAGTTGAGTATTTTCTTTGACATACAGCTTACAGAAAGTGCATTAAATGCTTCATGAGAAGCCCCAATACTCTCTGACTCAAATATATTCTAAATCAATATTTTTATTTTCCGATTCAACTTTAAATTCATATGTATATAAAGGCGAATCGAGGAGACATTTTTGCATACACACTTATGCTATATACATAAGCCAAGTAATATATACCTCTTTCATTCACAGATTCAACGGCCAAAGAAGCAGCTGCAACAAAGCAGCTCAAACAATGCTGAGGAAGCTGCTCAGGTGACCATGACGAACATGTCCGTGGCAACGCGAGTGCGCAATGTGCTGGACGTGGTGCACTCCAGCGGGGATTACGAAAGGTGCGCAGTCATATGAATACCCTCTGCAAAAATAACAAAAATCAAAAGAAGGCGCAAACAAAATTCAAATCATTTGAAATTCTTTTAGGCTCACTCAAGGCGTCTATGAGAACTATTTGCAGCAACGGATGCCAGATCCGAATTTTACGGGCATCTGCGAGGCGCTGCAATGGTTTTGCTTCTCGGACGCGCTGCAGCATCAAATCGCACGGCAGCAGAACTACAGCATCTATCCATATTTGCAGTACGGGTTTGTGGTCTGGCATTTGCTCTTTGCCACACTGGCCTGGCCGAAAATTGCATTTCCCACGCGTGGCTTTGAGGTAGGCAAACGTTGATGGCTGGCGCTGGGCCTCGGGTCGCATCATTTCTTTTCATTTTGGCATGTAAGCAGTGGACTCTTTGAGGCTGCCTCATGTATTATGCAATCCTCATTAGCTGGGGCAAACAAGCCTGGCGAGGGCCACAGAAAAGTGCATAATCAACACAATCAAGCCTTGTAATTTCTTGTGCATTATGTGGCTCAAATGCAATCACAAGATTAATGAGAGTTCTGCATAGATTTCGCACTGTTTACACTGGCCCCCATTCACTTGCTCTCCCAGACTTATTCCCTCTCTCTCTCTCTCTCTCTCTCTTTTCAGTTCAATCAAAAGTCCACGAACCAGCGCAACATCTTTCAAGCACTGCGCAAAGGCATCACCACATCAGCTCAGGGCGTGGGCCAAGGCAACATTCTGCTGCTGGATACGGTGCCGCTGCTGAAGCGCATTCTCTCGCCACAGCTGCGCTCCGTGGCTGTTCAACTGTTATCCCAGAAGTGAGTATGCAGTAGGAGGAGCCAAGAAATATATTGTAAGCTTCAGGAAGCATACACTGCACGAAGGAGAACCAACGGTCTAAGTAGATTATGTAGGCAAAACATCATTGATATGACAGTCAGTTCATATGGAAAGCTAGTCAATACCAAGATTGGAGTTAGACTTAAACTAAGTCAATTTGTAATTCATGAGAACTTTAAGGAGGAAGTATAGCGTTCTGGGAAGACTGAAGACGATCTCTCGAGAAGTTTCCCGCTTTATATGTTTTAAAATGATAGATTCGTCTAAGTTTCATTAGAGTTAATAAAAATGCAAATTAAAATTTTTAAACGAAGTCATTTGTGGGTCATTAAACCTCAGAAATGAGCTTGAGATTTCTTACTTTTCAATTAACGAGAACCGCTTCTCTTTTATTATTACCATTTGATGTGCTACAACAAACATATTTGCCTCGTCTCAATTCAGCAAAATTCAAATTACAATTTAATTACGATAGAACAATTAATAATAATAATTTTCCCCTCAGAGAACAATACGATTTGCGTCACACGATTCAAGTGATGGTTGATCTTGGGCTGACCTTCGTCCAAGTCAAATCGGCGGAGGGCCATTATGTGTTTCAAACCGAACCGGACTTGGATACGCTGTGCAGCTTTCCAGGTGAAGTCATTGGCACTGCTGTGCTTAGCCGCATTATCGATGCATTAATGTGCTGTGTATATTATAGGCTTTCCCGGACTGACGCTGCCCTACTTCAGTCGCCAGTTGATAGCACGCGAGGTGGATCTGGAGCGCATACGACGCGCCGCGCCCAAAGGCGGTCCAGCGGACAATGAAACAACAAAGAGCGCAACAGCAGCAGCTGCAGGGGCAACTGGAGCGCCTGGCTCGAAGCAAAAGGCGGTTGCAGCGCGTCTGCCAAATCATTTGCAAACATTGAAGCCAAAGCAAATAAGCGACTTCAATGCGCCGCCCAAGCAGCAGGTGAGCCGTGGCTGCTTTTCACATATTTCGGGCAATTTGCATGCCTTGCATTTACTTAGCAGCAATTCTGTTGCAAATTTTTTCGTGGCGCAGCTTATTGAAAGTTAGCTCTATCCAAATTGCCACAGCCACTCATCCGCAAATCCGCCTTCGACTTAGGGTCCCTCCGTCGYGCTGCTGCTGCCGCAAATCCTGTAAAAGCTAATAACCCATAAGGGGATTCGGCTGCCCATTGTCTTCGGGGTCGTAATGTGGGATCAGCGCAAACGAACATTTATTGCCAATCCTAAACGAAAGCGACTGCCAGCAACAACAACAACAACAGCAACAGCAACGACAGCAACAACAAAATGTCCTCATTCATTGGGGTTGTGCATTTGTTTAGGGGTTGCTTTACGCCAATTCTCTTCATTTCTCTCACTTAGAGCTGAAGCTTTTCTTTCTGATTATATGGCAAATTTCATTTCATTTTTGCATACTCTTTGTTTCTCTTRCATTATTATTATTTAATTATGAATTTCTTGTATTTTTCAACAGCTCACGAAAGACTTCTTTGGGCGCGTTACGCACAAGACAACAGCAGCAGCGGCAGCCGAGGAAGGTAGGCTAATGGCTGTTGTAGCTCGAGCAGTAATTATATATTGAAATGTTTTACAGTTAAAACTGATGCAATTGTTAAGAGCCCCATATGGTATCGCTATAAGGAGGGCTTCAACAATGCTGTGCGAAAGGATGTGCATCTCAATGAACTGCTTTAAGCAGTAATTATTTCAGTTGATTATTGTTACACTTACTATTATAAATATATTTATTAATTAGCTGATAACGAATGTGTTGTCTTATCAGCTTTGATCAGCTAAATTGTAATGTTCAATACAAACGAACAATATTTACAGCTATGTTGAGATCGTATATGCGCAAATTTTAATTGGAATATTTCTGAAGCCTGAAAGACAACTTTGTATTAAAAAAGATAGACAGAAAGAGATCAATTAATTAGATCATTCTCATATTCGCGGCATTATAGTATTCGTGCTAAATTATAAAAAATAATCGTAACGTAGCTGATCTTTCGCTTGATTCTCAAATCACTTTCACTCTCTTCTCTTGTTCTCTTGTTCTGAATAACTTTGCACAATTCACAATGAGTCTTCAGCCACGCTCTATGTGTATGTGGGTCCAGAGATCTTTGACATCCATCCATTGGGGCACACAATCTAGAGTCACACTCGTCCCCTTTTGGCATAGAACTGTCGCATGGCATTGCTTATCGCATCCGTGGGCTATCGACAGCTTTCAGTGTGTGAGTGTGAGTGTGTGTGAGGTGTTGCCGCTGACAAGTTTGGCGTTGCTCTGGCAACACTTACTCACTCACTCACTCAGTGGCTCGCTCAGTTGTCAGCGGGTGGTTCTGCGCTATATAATATCAGCGAGATGACGATGATGAAGCCTTTGTTGTTGCTGCTGCTGCTCGGCTTGCTGGGATTTGCTGAGATTGAGACACGCTATGTACCCGGCATACCAAGTGAGTAGATGGTAGAGAGAGAGAGAGAGAGTAGAAGTGCATCCACTAATTGATTTTGTATTTGCTGCAGACATTTGCATAAAGCCGCCGCCCTTCTCCGAGGGCATGTGCACCATTGAGATCGAGGGCTTCTACTACGATCCGGCCACGCTCGACTGCCAGATGTACTCGATTGGGGCTTGCCGTCTGACGCCCGGCCAGAGCTTCGGCAGCCTGGAGGACTGCGTGGCGACCTGTGTGCTGGGCAAGCGTCGCAGTCCCGATTACTATAGAAATGAATGAGATGTTGATACGAATAAAGCGCATTATAATAAACCTCTCTCTCTAGTATAAAAACAAACTGCGTCTGATTTTAATCGAGACCCGGTGTTAATCACCGCCCTGACCCGTGACGTAATTGTTTATTTCCAATGAGCATCTGAAACGTGCTTGACTTTGTCTTCTTGTGGCATGTTCCAAGCAGCAGCAGCCTAATTAGTTGCCTTACTTAGTTGAGCCTCGAGCCATGCTTGCGTCAGCTCTCAGTGCGCTAACCCGAATGGAGGTATTGTAGTTTGATCGTCTAAATGGCTGCGAATTTAAAATTTAAAAGTTTTGAGAACTAAAAAATATTTGTAATATTAAGAAACAAACTAGTATAAAAAAAAAAAAAAAAAAAAAAAAAAAAAAAAAAACATTTAATAATTGACAACNTGCTAATTCAATTTGCCCTGTGCATTAACACCTAGCTAACGTTTTTGCCCAGCCCTTGTCCGCTTACCCCTACCTCGCCCACGCCCACATCTTTTGGGGGTCTGAGTCAGTCTAATTATTAGCAACTGTCCCACTGACAAATGCATTATTAATGTGCCCTGCAAAGTGCAACGCTTGAATCCTACTTAAACTTAGTAATTGCTGCCAAGCACGTGACTTACACCGAAGACACGAATTTCTTATGCAAATTACCGTATTGCCCCGGAAATTCTAAGTATTTCAGTACTCATTTGCTTCTAATATGTTTATGTGTGTGTGTGTGTGTGTGTGTGTGTGTTTCAAAAACATCAAGTGATAGCTGTAAAATGTTTATTGCGTCATAAATTGCTTTAGTTTGTTGACGAACGAATTACAATGAAATTAAAAATTAAGTCGGTCGACAAACAGCCTCAAAATAAATGATGCGCTGCAAGAGTAGTCGACCAATGAGTTACCATGCAATCAATATTTTTCGGACTCATATAAAATGACATATGTACACGCCAAGGTCAATCAAGTAACCCTTGCAGTGAAATTCTGTTGATCTCTGTTGCAAATCGGGAAGTGCATACTATGCAAATGTATTGCTCATTCAAATTTTATATAAATATATACAAATTCATAAAAACACAATTTAGCCATAATGAAGATTCCATTTAATTTTTTAATATTATTAAAAATTATAACAAAAATGCGTTTAATTCGCTTTTATGTTTATCAAAGTCGGCGACAAAGTATTTCGACATATTATTTTAATATATGAAATACTATATACTATGAATGTGTATATTTATAATAATATAATATATTATGCATTGCAAATTTGATAGCTGTAGATTTTCTACACCTGTTC